CCCCAAAACCCCAAAACCCCAAAACCCCAAAACCCCAATAAGTTATTGGCTAATTGAATATCCCTGAAATGCCACCGCGAGACCGATTTCGGTGAATCAATATGCCATGAATATAGGATAAGCTGATAAAGTACTAGACACAAGATATCGAAAATTCTTATTTATACATAGAACAAAATACAGAGTCCCCTTCTGGTTGGAACCAGCAGGGTTATACTTTGCTGAGTACTGCTCAAACGGAAATTTTTCTAGAAATCTCCCTTGGGGGAGTCCTGAGTGGACTCCTCATGACAGTCCTCTAAGTGGTGATCCTTGCCCTTTGAGTCTATAATTTAAAGTTAGACACATCCTTGGGAGTAGTAATAGATGTACCTCAAAACCTGGTGAGAAATGTTTGCTTACCTTTAAAACTCTCTCCTTGGGAAGTTTTATCAAGCAGAGCTTGATGCACATTGAAGATCTCGAGATTCTGGCTCTTTCCTATAAATAAAATTTAATTCAAAATTAACGGGGAGTCAAAAATTGGCCTAAATCCATGGACTTCAGAAGAAATTCCAGATTTTCTAGAGTTTAAAAATTCACGATTCTTACTAAAACCTTAAATAATTTCAAACAAAATATCGAGGGTGACGTCAAAAGCAGGAAGGCTCTAGGCCTTTTAGCTTTGAGAAACTTCAGGCATTTTTTAGTAATAAGAACAACTAATTTGTGTAGAGATAACCAACAGATGATTCTAGTGGAGGTATGACGCCAGTCACAGATTCAAATGTGAGTTTAGTCAACAGTTTAAAAGCAATGAATTATCAAAAATAGAGAAATAAAAATGATACTTTACCTTTCTTAATTAATCTCTTATTCCTAGTACTAGTGCTCTTCTTTCTCCTCTTATTGTGTAACTCTGGGCTTAGAGTCGAATGCTTAGGAGAGCCTCATGATCAAAGTCCCATTGAAGCTATTTTCCTCCTGATTCAAGACTTGAGTTCCTTCTCTTGTGCTAACTCTTTCTCTGGGGTTTGTGAGATAATCAAAAACTCTCAGTATTTCTTAAATTCTGAAGGGCACACGAACAGATCGAAGCCGATCAAAGAAAGAAAAGCGGCTTCCAGCCGCTTAAGTTCTTTCTTTTGGACGCCAACGACTGTTGAAATATATGAAGCCTCCTCAACTTTGATATCGTCGTGGTACTTCATCGCCAACAGAATACTCGTTGCCAACAGTCGGTGAACCGACTGTTGGCTGAGTCTCACCTTGGTTTTATCAGTAATCCGGTCAATATAAATCAGGGAGAGGACGAAGCAAGAACTGGAAACGTGCAGATACTTGCCCAGCCTATCAATATAGTCTGGAACAGAGATGCCAGCATCTTTGCTGCCAGCAAAGATTCAGCCTGGCTTTCCCTGGTACTCAGCTATGCTGGGAGTCCTTCACGTTGAAACTTGGTGTTCCCGGACCATGTCCTGGACAACATGTGCCACCATCTTGGCACAAAAAGATTTGTGGAGTGACTGAGTCATTTTTATTTATAAAATTGAGTGATTATTTTTGATTTATCTGCTATTTTTCCTCTGTTTTGACTAAAGTTAGTCAGCCTCTTTGAATTATTTGGTAAATAATATTAATTTTTCGATTTATATTATTCCTCAATCTGTGTATATCCTTTTGGGGTTTTGGGGTTTTGGGGTTTTGGGGTTTTGGGG